GCGGGACCGGGGTCGTGCCGGCTCTCGTGTAGGTGGGTCCGCTGCCCCTCCGGCTGAGCTGGGCGGGAGCCTGGGCCCGGCGCTGGGCTGCATTCCTAACTAACGCTCTCTTCTGCGTTTCAGGATCTGGTAAAGAGTCACTTGATGTACGCGGTAAGGGAGGAGGTGGAGGTCCTCAAAGAGCAAATCAAGGAGCTGATAGAGAAGAACTCCCAGCTGGAGCAAGAAAACACTCTGCTAAAAACACTCGCCAGCCCGGAGCAGCTTGCCCAGTTCCAAGCACAGCTGCAGACTGGTTCCCCGCCTTCCTCTTCCCAGTCGCAAGGGACAACGCAACAGCCTGCTCAGCCGGCATCACAGGGGTCAGGGCCTTCAGCGTAGTTCAAAGCGTCATTGCCGTCGTGATCGCTGGCCTCTGGACTGCCCGGAGCAAGAAGGACTTAGCGGGAATCCGCCACAGCCACCCTTCATCCATTTCAATGCACACTGCAACCCAGACTGAGGACTCCGTGCCCTGCACGCATCGGGAGAGTCTTTTCCCCCACCCCGTATTACACTCTCATCTGTCTCCCTCTTCCCTCCCTTCCCCCTTTGGCTTGAAGGAGTCTTTGTTCTTAGGTTGGTTGAATAAAATAAACTTCTTCCAGAGAATTAGCACAAGTACACTGGGGACTTGAGCGGCTTCTGCAAATGGCTGAGGATCGAAGCTGCGTGCCTGCATTTTTTTGTTTTGTTTTTAAATCTTCCACTCATCCAGTGATAAAACTGATACAAGTGCTTTTCGAGCTTGGAAATATGAAGAAATAGACTGGAGTAAAAAGCGATGGCTGAATCCCCCATAGTGGTGCACTGGGGTTCCAAAGTGAGGACTGGTGCATAGGATCTTAAGAGGAAGAGGGAGAAAGGTAAATTCAGTGTTTAACACTTAATTGTCACCTGAAACCTTAAGTGCAAATATTTGCACCGTTTTCTGAAGCAGTGGACAGGTGCATAAAGCTGTAATATATATAGAAAGCAGGTAGGTGACGTACAGTTGGGTCATAGGATAATTACAATGAAGGTTATTTGCCTACTGTATATTTGTGTATTTAGTGTAATTACTTTGTAAAATAGAAAACTGTAACTATTTAGGTTGTACAGATTGAAGTTTAGTTGTTTCATTGGCTGATCTGAAGAAGTTTGGAAAGTTTTTTTGGGTTTTTTTTTTTTTTTTTTTTAATGCTACATAAATAAGAATGCACCTACGCAACTGTTCGAATTTGGCAGATTTATGCTGTTTGTGTAAGTTCTGAAGTTCCCTGGCTGCTGATTATCTTGAAGTAAATCTTTGTTCATTGTAGTTTGGTTCAAGACAGGAAAAACCACTCCAAAAATTATCAAACCCTGCTAGCAAAGAATTTAAAAAACAAAAAAAAAAAAATTGGATTTCCCAGTATGGATTTTTTGCATATGATCTGTATAGTAGTATGCATATGTTTTTGTGCATGTTCTCTAAACAGTTGTAACACGTCAATGTATGTAACTGTTGCACTTGTCAACTTTCAATAAAGCATACAATGTTGATAAATCACTGTTTGCATGTCGTGCTAATGTTAACTGCAGTCGCTTCCGACATCTTGCAGTGCAGTTTTACGTGAGCGGTGAGGTCAGGAAGCATAGGTCTGGGTGCGAGATCCTGTCTGTCGGCTTCAGAGCTTTCTCCAAGTTTCAGCTAAAAATGCAGCTCCTGCTTTCCACGGTTTCTTTAAAAATGCGGCAATTGTGAAATCAAGTGAAGGAGGGGGAGGAGTAGGGGGCCTGACCTAAGAGCAAAGCTTGTTGTTTTGGTACAATCCTATAGGGTCGGGACTGTTGGGTGCCTTCTATACGTTGAGCAGGAGCACGGACTTCTGCTCGTAAAAGTATAAATCTCGTGCAACAGTTGTTCCCTAGCGGCAAACTGTGCCCTTGCCTGGGCGTGGGTCATCCCATGCTGGCAGCAGCTCCAAGGCCTTTAATTTGGGGTGACGAAGGCAGCGGGCATCGCAGCTTCCCCAGCAGGCCAGCTGTAGCTTGAAAACAAGCGATGAGGCCAGGCTGAAATCTCCTATGTCCAAGAATTTCTAGCTTTCACCTCTATAGCTCTTGATTATTTTTTTTTTTTTTTGTTTGTGAGTGGAAGTCATGTAAACTTGCATTAATTCTGCCTTGTGAAAGTGATGAGGAGGCTTTCCAGCCTGTGTGAAGATAAAACTGTTTCCCTTTAGCTTGGAAAAAAAAAACGCTTTTTTTCCTCTTTAGCCGTGATATTAAAGTGTAACTGAATCTAAACCTACAGATTTCTAGGTGCAAGACTATAGATCTGGTGTGATGTCTGCAACCGGGGGAGCAAAGGAATTTGCAGTTTTGCAGTGGATTCTGTTTACTGGTGTTAAGGATGTGAATCTTGGATACTTAAAATATTCGCAATTAATGGGATAAAATGGTCAGTCCTTGTGAGGAGTAGGACAGTGTAAGTGGTGTCCTAACATTGGAATACAAGGAATTAATCTGACTTGAGATGTAGGAGTTAATTACAAAGTTTTTTTACATGGTCTTACATGGCTGCTTCCACCGCATAATGAAAACCAGGCGGTGCTGTTCTTGCGGAACTCCGTGTTATATTGAGAATAGTCAGGTGTAGCACAGGGAGCGAGGAGGCTGAGGGTTCGAAGGCAGGACAGATCGCTGCCTCTGTGTGATTTATAGCCGGATCCTTGCTTTTGGGTACTTGTCATGCAGCAGTCCAGCAACCGTGTCGCGGCGTTACCTTTATCGGGATTAGTAAATCAAAGTGCATGCCTCTCTGGGAGCGTGAACTTTAATTCGTAGTTTGTGTTCTTGAGATTTCAATGTACAGCGTAAGAGCATTCTTGGTGAGGAAACGCCAGAGAGAAACGCGAGATGCTTTTTTTTTTTTTTTTTTGATGGATTAAGCTAAAATTAGAAATTGATGATAGCCTTTGTGGCAGAACAGCACTTGAATTATCTGGATCCGACAAAAGGAATGCTAATTTTGGTGCTTTTTAAATGGCTTAATTGTCTCCAGTTGCCTTTATATTCTGAATGTCTCTTTAGCACTTCCAGGCCGTAACACTGAGTATATAAAAAAGTCAATCCTAACATGCAGATAGGCTTTTTCACCCATTTCGGTGACCAAAATTAGCAAAGAATTATTTTTCATTTAAAAATAAGTTGGCCTCTGGGTTTGTTTCTTTTACTTTGTTGAAAGAACAGCCCGAGCATATTCTAAATCCAAGATTATTTTTTTTTAACTGTTCTCTAACACAATATCTGGAAGCCTGAAGGTTTTGGGTTAGGTAAATAGTTACAGGACACTGTGCTTCAGTGCTGGCAAATCTGATCATTCAGTCTTAGGGACCCAATAGTTTTAAAACTACGGAGCCGTTTTTTGGAGCTCTTTATTAATTGCTGAAGTTAGGCAGAGCAACATTTTGTTGCCGAGATGATGTTAGCAATAGCTCTGTCAAAACTGCAGCCTGTCTCCGTGAAATGGATTCAAAGTGACTAACATTGCACTTGAGACCCAAACAAAGAGTGGACGTTTCGGTCGGTTGTGTTGTAATTCTTCTGGAATGAATTGTTTTTGTTCTAGAGCAAATCATTTTTTAGGGCGCTTTAAATCAGATGTTGTCAATAGCAAAGAGCGGTGTCTTTTTCCACCACAATTTTTCTTTGTACAAACTCCTGAGATGCTCAGGTTTTCATCCACAACGAGAATCAAATTAAATGTAATCTGCCTTTTATATGTCAGGCTTTTTACTGCCTGCGTATCTCCAATTTGGTAATTCTTCAGGCTATATTCAAGCTGTTTGTCATTTAACTTCTTGTTGACATTTAGCTGCACACTTGCTTTATTTTTAACAGCAATGTGATAAACTGATCTAAGCAAATTATCACAGAGACCAAGTTGCTATTTTTTTCCTCACGTGGCTGCTTTTTTTTTTTTTTTTTTTTTTTAAAAAAAACAGTCATTTTTTTGGCAAATAATTCTAAGGCAAGTCCAGGTTGTCCAAACTCTGAGGGCTCTGTAAATACTTAGGGAAGAGAAATATGCTTCAATGCCTGAAAACTGTCCAGAGAGCACCCAGACAAAACCTCCCACCAGCAGTGGAGTAAATGCAGTGCCTTAGAGATGCCTCTCCCTAACTCTTACAGAATAAATCAATGCCTCGGAGACAGCTTCCCATCTTTCAACTGGAGAAAAGAACCCAGGGAGGCTATTTGGGAATTGCCACCCTTGATTTCTGTAGCGGCAGTGAATGTATTAATCTCAAATACAAAGAATTTTAATTATTATTTATTCCTCGTAGGGTGAAATAGCAGTGCTGGAGCTCGCTGACTGAAGGCATACATTTACTGTAATATATGCCATTTGCAAAACGTTACGTGTCTTGAGTGCTTGAGTAACAGTTCACATCGTATCGACCTTGCGCTATTTCTTGCTTTTCTCCTCTCTCTTTGGAATTACGCATTTTAACTTTCTGGAGAGTTTTCTGCTGGGGCGAACCTGAAACAAGTTACAAATCTGAGGCTTTGCCTAAGCTGGAAATGAGCCGGATTCCAACCATCGCTGGCCAGTGTAACTTCAGATGAGTGAAACTAAAAGGAGAACGGTTGCTGGAGGGAGCTCCTGGGAAGTCTGGAACGGGCTTTGGTGTTTGAAGCACTTGTTTGAGGATACTCTGAAAAACACCTGCCACTGGCCCGATCCTTTTCCTGCAGTGAGTAAGCAGGCTCTTCCGACTGCATTTAGCGTGCGCTGAGCTAGGCCAACAAACGGCGTGCTTGAAAACCCCGTGGCAAGGACTGTTCCAGCAGACACTGGCAACTGCCCTCCTGAAGCAGGGTCCAGTTTCCAACAGGAGCAAAGCCAAGCTCAACAATGAAGTTAAAAGCCAAACCATGAATAAACTAACTTCCTTGCATTGTAAATACATCGGAAAAGGGCAGCCGTTCAAAAGGGAAAATGAGCAAAACTGCGATGACTTTCCTTGAAGCTAACTCTCAGGTGGTGGTGGCTCACTGAGATGCCCTCAGGAGAGTCGTACTGGGCCAAGGGGCAAGAGAGTTCACATGGGACATGGCCAAGAGGCCCCCGAAATGTAGCACAACAGGAATTTGGGTACAGCATAACGGCCCAACTGAAGAAAGGGAAAACAGTTCTTAAAAACCTTGTTCCTGAGCTAAGCCAGGTTCTTAGGTCATCTTGAAGCTTAACTTTGATTCTTCAGCTGCATTGGGGTGGGGGTGGTTTTTCAGTGATGTGTATGTGGTAATACATGTTGGATGTGGTTCAAGTCGTCATGAGAAAGTGGCTACAGGCGAAAAAAAAAGAATGAAGAAGAAAAGGTCATAAGAGTCCAATTTGCAGTCTTCTAGTTTGAGTGGACCGAGAGCTCTGTTACAGTTCTCCCTCTTCACAGCTCTAAAGGTTGAGATCTGGCAAGTGCAAGCTCAGGGCAAATACAGCCGAATCTTGGAAGTAACAAAAGGGCAGCGAATAAAATTCGTCAGCCTTTAAAAAACAAAGTCCAGAAGAACAAACCTCTGTGGCCTTCAGAAAGGAAAGCAGATCTGTTGTTCATCAGGGAGTATGGGAAAGGAGGGAGATGAGCTTGTTTGTGGGTAATTTAAATTACTGTCAGCTGCTTTCCAGTACATTCAGGATCTCTAGGATTTGGAAACTAGGCATCTGTGCTGAGCTCTCAGATCTCCCCCCAAAATCTCGTTTAAAGTATCTGCCTGCATTATTCTCCCGGTGGAGGCTGCCGTAAGTGGTCATTCTTCCTTCCATTAGTTTTATTACTGAGAACCAGCCCATTCTGCCTCTCCGCTGCTGCTTTAATCAAAGCTTTGCTACCAGATAGCCATCAGAAAAGACATCTGCAATTCAATTAGATATGTGCTTAAACTCACGATCTCGGTGAAACCGGCTGCTGCCAGAGCAGCATGCCCTCCACGCCGTGGGCTCACTGGGGCTGCTGCAGCCTGCGGGGCTCTCTGCTCCAGCACTTCTGCCTCCCACCCCCGGCCCGTCCTCCCTTCACCCCTGCTGGCCCTGCTCACGGATGCTTGAAATGAGGACCTGTTCCTCATAGGAGGCCGGTGGGAATCTATTTCTTCTTCCTTGCAAGGCAGGAGAGAAGCTAGAAGCTTGACACCACTCAGGAGCCACAAAATCTGCTTTATAACATATCGAAAGTGGTTGCAGCAGGGTAGCGTCTTTCTGCCTCGGGAGGTAGGATGAAGAAGCTCCAAAGGCGCTCCAGGGGTAAATCATTGCACCTTTTGCATGGGCATGAAAGCACGATAAATCAATAGGACCATCCATACCAACAAAGAAGCTGGACTACTTTATTTTCACTGACTGACTTCAGTCCCCAGTGCTGTAAGTGGGTAACCCCTGGTGCCGGCTGCTCCAGGGCCACCACCGTTCTTGCTTGCGGTGACCCTGTGTG